CAGCCTTGCCCCCACAGGTGTCCCTCCCTACCCCTCCACCCTGGAATTCGGTGCCCCACACTGGCCCCTCCTGCCTCACACTGCCCTCCCTTTCCCTGGCACTGGGTGATCCATCCTGCCTCGCAGGTCCCTAACGCAGGACTGGATGCTCTTGCAAGTACCAGGTTTATAGCCTGAGCTCAGGGTCCCGCAGCCCTGCACAGAGGCTGCCTGGCTCCTTGGCACTGCAAAGAGTTGGTGGAGCTGCCTGGCACCGGCTGTGTGTGGGGGTGGCTAGCACCCTCCCTGCCCACCTCTCCCTGGGAAGCGAAGCCAGGCCCCGGTCACAGGGCACTGGGAACGGGTGCCTTGCGTGTTCTCACTGACACAGGGCAGGGTGACGCACAGGAAGGTCTGGGAGCCAAGGGCAGCAGCCGCCGCCATCCCAACAGCAGGAACTGCAGGGAGAGCTGGTCACGGGGTGCAGAGCTCCACGGCTCCTGCCCCTGCACAGACCCCACGGGGGCAGCACAGCCCCCGCCAGAGACCCCAGCCCTGAGACCCTTTGGCGGAGAGATTGGGGGGGGGGGTTGCAGCAGTGCCCTGCACCTGAGGCCCCGCCATGCCCAGAGTGCTCGTGATGCCCTGGGCCCACGAGATCCTGCCCTGGGTTGCAGTGGTGCCCGTGCCTCTGGGTTCGGGGAGGGGGGGGGACAAAGGGGGCCCTTAGCAGGACCCCTAGCTGCCTCCCCATCCCACGTTGCCTGTTTTGCCTGCTTGTTTCCTGGGGTTCCCAGCCAGCCCCAGAGGAAGCAGCCAGATTCCTTGTTTGTCACGGCTGGGAGCAAAGAGGCAGCAGCAGCAGGAAACATCTGGTTTCCTCCTTGTCCGGTGAGAGCCAGGGATGGAGGGGACAGCAGCCATGGGGTGGGGGCGTGCACACCTGACCTGGGAGAGGGAGGGAGTCCTGGCAGGCAGAGACAGGGTGTTGGGATGGCGGCCCCTCCCTCCTGCCTGCAACTCACTGGTACAGATGCAAAATGTCCTCGGGGTATGTGGGTGAGGGCCCCCCCCCACCCCCACCGCAGTGCAGGGATGGGCCTGGTGCCTCCAGCCCTGATGGCTCCAAGGGTGCGTGTAACCCCCAGGCAGGGGGACTGAGTGGCTCACACATCATCCAGGGCAGCAATGAGGGGGAGGAGGAGGGGAAGGCTCCATCAGCTGCAGCTTGGCCCCTCACCTGGCCCCTCACCTGGCCCCAGGGCATCTCCGCAAGAATGTGCAGCTAATTAGTGGGACAGAGCCCAGCCTCCCAGGCCAAAGGCAATGTCTCCTCCTGCAGCCTGGGACCCCCACTCACCCTCTGGCAGAGAGCAGTGCACAGATCCACTCATTCCTCCCCCCTCACACAATTACTGTGTCCCCTCCTGAGCCCAGCCAAACCCTCCAGCCTGAGGCATTCCTGCAGCTCCCCAGCCTGCCTTGTGGGGCCCAGGCAGAGGAGGGGGATCTCCCAGCAGCAGGTAAAGGGACTGCCCCTCCCTGCTGAGGTATCGCTGCAGCACTGAAGCCCCAGTCAGGGTCCGGCCCCGCTGTGCCAGGTGCTGCACATGCAGCGGGAGACAGTCCCTGCTCAGAGAACTAGGGGCACGGCCTAAAGTCCTGCTGGCTCTTGGCCCTCTCTCCCCACGCTCCCTCCCTTTGAGCCACCAGCACCTGGAGCTGAGCCTATTGGCCCTGGGGCACGGCAGACCTCCCATCTGGCTGCATCTGAAGGGACTAGGGGGCTTGGATGGAACAACTGCCCTCAGTAGGACTCGGCTGCAGCTTGAGTGCCACTTGGCCATGCTCAGGGAAGGGCACAGCAGGGGCCTGCCCCCATTCTCTCTGTTGCCAGCTGATAGCTGCCTGGGACTGGCTGGGACCTCTGCTGCCCCATCACCAGCCCCTGTGTAGGGGTCAGGTTGCCATAACTTCCCTGTTCCAACAGCTCCCCTGAGCCCCGGAGCCTGGCCCAGCCCAGACTTCTGACAAACCAAACACGGGGAGCGTGTCCCAGAGAGCAGGCCCAGGCCTGGATCTGCTGTCTCTACACACCAGGCCTGGAACTGACACAGGACTGCCTCTCCCTTGGCCCGGGGGCTCTGCTGGTGGGCCCGAGATAGGATAGCAGGGGCCTGCGTCAGTGACACCCCCCCAGCATTGCTCCAGTCCTGCCCTAGGGCCTGCAGCACCCACTGGGCCTAGGCTGGAGTCCCTGTCCCCATCACTCAAACCCCCTCTACCAGGCACTGTGGCCCCAGCCCAGGCGGGGAGAAGGACTGTTGGGTCTCTGCTCTCTTCCCCCTCAGCTTCAACGCCAAGCAAGAAGCCTCAGAGTAGGGGAAGTGAGCCAGTCCGCAGGGGAGAATGTTGAGGCACAAGGCCCCTGGCTGAGCTGACTAGCTTTGGGGGGGCAGGGAGGGTCAGCTCCAGCCAGGCAGGGACACCCCTACTACCTGGAGAGGCCAGGAACAGCTCCATGATCCCAGGACTGACAGCAGCTTAGGGCCTGGCAGTCTCCTGGCCTCCTGGACCCACCCTGCACAGGGAGAGGCTCCCATCTGCCCCTGTGGGCCAGGGATATGGCAGGGCTGGGGAATGTGCTGGGAGGAAGGGGGTGGGAAGGTGCCTTTGTTCTCCTGCCAAGTGCTGGCACAGGAGCCTGAGTAAATGCTTTGCCTCTTGGAAGACGCTGGCATACCAGCATCTCGTGGGCCTGGCCCAGCAGCTGGAGCAAAGCGGGACCAGGGACAGTGAGCGATATGCTCCTGAATAGGGTGGGGCACCTGGCCAGGGCAGGGAGATGAGGGTCAGTCCCTCCTAGCCGATGGCCACACCTCTGCCCCGCCAGAGAGGCTCTGGAGTCATCATCCTGTGGCCCTGGAGGGACCCCAGCTCCTGGGGCTGGCCGGGAGCTCCTGTCCCCTGGACAAACGCAGGGGGCAGAGGCTCTGGGGAGCGACAGCTCAGCCCTGGGGGAATGGGCTCTCCAGGCGACTGGGAACACTTGCCCACCCTCTACCAGCTGCAGCCGTGACCCACTTGGAAACGCTGCACATATGCACCAGCCACATACTAAACCCCTGCTGGAGCCAGGGCATGCGCCTACCTGCCCAGCCCTGCTAGGCTCTTCCTCGCCTTGCAGGTCTAGACAGACAGCGTCAGCACATTGACACTACCTGCAGCTGGGCAAAGGGGGGCTGCCAGGCTCCATCCCAACCCAGACAGCACTCAGCAGGACAGACCCGCTCTCCTCCCCCAGCTGAGTCACAGCCTGTCTGGGCTGTCCCAGGCAGACAGACTCTTTGTCCAGCAGTCAGATGCTTCAGTCAGATGCCCCCCGCACCTCTCTGACTCCAAGGGGAGAGGAAGGTTCGGCCTTACGCTGCCCTCTGCAAAGAGCCTGACTTGCAGGAGGCCACCCACCGGCTGCTCCCATCCCAGCCCCTCTGGAACAGACCGTTAATCCCTACAGCCCCCCCCCCGGGGTGAGAGCCTGTGATCACTGCAGGTGGGTAGCAGACACAGGTGCAGCCAAGGCCTGGGGCCACACACTGAGTCAGCAGCAGCCAGTAGGGCTCAGCTGTTCCCAGCTCCCCTCGGGCACAGTAAGTGTGATTTGGCTCCCATCTGCGGAATGGTTTCAATGCAGTTTATGGTACACAGCGTCTCTGCTACACCCCTAGCGTGACCATACATCCCATTCTGGCTGCCACAGGCCCTTCTTGAAGACCTGTATCAGCCATCCTGACTTTTCTGGCAAAAGTGGGCATTTGTCCCATTTGCCCTTGACAACTGATCAAGTGTGGAGGATCATGCCGGGGGGAGGGAGCAAATCCAGCTCTGCCTGGGGAGGAGGCAGGGCTCGGACTATCGGCTCAGGCCAGCCCCGTGCAGGGAGAGGAGATCAGGCCAGCCCCACCCAGTGTCCCATTTTCCCTTTGGGAAATATGGTCGCCCTATACTAGGGGTGCTCAAACTTTTGTACTGGTGACCCCTTTCACACAGCAAGCCTCTGAGTGCGACCCCCCTTATAAATTAAAAATACTTTTTTATATATTTAACACCGTTATAAATGCTGGAGGCAAAGTGGGGTTTGGGGTTCAGGCTAACAGCTCGTGACCCCCCATGTAATAACCTCCCGACCCCCTGAGGGGTCCCAACCCGCAGTTTGAGAACCCCTGCCCTATACACACTGTTTTGCAGAGGCTGGTAACAAGGAAGGGAGATGTCCCTAGAAGAGAACTGGAGGGGGAGGGGGCTAGGACTGCCAATGGGTTTTGCAGCTGTTGGCTCAGGGCTGCTGCTGCTGCTGCTGGGATCCTAAACATCACAAGCTTGGAGCTAAAGATGGGGCAGCCCATCCTTGCTCCTGGGGAGGCGAGTCACAGGGGGGCGGTGCTGGCTCTTGGGAAGGTCCCAGTCATAAGGAACTCCACAGCCCGGGGCCCCTGCCTGCCTCCCAGGTAGGAGTGCTAGGTCTGTTAGAGAATAAACAGAGCAGGGACTGGATTCCCCCAGAATGCGATTAATTGCAGCCTGGAGGCAGTGACCTCCGCTGACCCCTCTTCTCCTGAGGAATGAGCTGTTCCCAGGGGGCTGGAGGATTCATGGGGGGCAGGCCGAGCAGCCTGGGGTTTGCAGGGTGACAGAAGGCAGCACCACCCAGTGGCCGTGGCCTGTGCTGCCCATGTGTTCAATCCGTGTTTTGTGTCACCTCCCGGACACGCAGAATTACTGCCAAAACCACAGTGCCCCCTGCTGGACACTGCTGGCTATTGCACAGGATGAAGCCACCACACTGTCAGCCGTTTGTGTAGAGTGGCCCCTGCTGCCTGTCGGACACAAAGACAGACCTTACCCGGCCACCCGTGGCCAGCACCTCGCCCTGGCGTGAACGTGCAGGGGAGCTGGGCCCTGGGCAAGGGGAGCAGGCATGCCCAGTCACCGAGGCCAAGGAACCCACAGGAGCTACTGACCAGAGGTTACAAAGAGACCGTTTTATTGGGTACCCCAGAGTCCCGGGCAGGCTGGATGGGAGGGTTCATGGGGGCATCAATTCCTCTTCTTGCCTTTGCCAATGGCCTTGGCGGGCGCTGCCATGGGTGCTGCAGACTGGTAGAGCGTGGAGGAAATCTTATTGATGTAGTAGAGGGCAATCATGGAGAAGATGAAGCTGGGAGGAGAGAGGAGGGCAGGCCAGTCAGCACCATCCCTTGCCCATACCTGCTCCCCACATGAGCTCCAGCTATTAGAGACCAGGCGGGCGCAGCTTATCCCACACCACCTTCCTCTGAAGCAACTGGCACTAGCCTGGTGGAGACAGAATCCTGGGCAAGATGGACCAGGAGTCAGAGCCAGTCATGCAATTCTTATGTGCTTTGTTACCAGCCGGGAAATGGACCTGCCACCCCTCGCCTGGCACAGTGGCAGCCCCGCCAGCCCCATGCCCAGCCAGGGAGCAGCCCCGCTGGCCCCACAACCCCTTGCCTAGTACAGGGGCAGCACCACCAGCTCAGGAAAGGAGCTCAGTAAGGCCCAGCAGGTCTCTTCAGCCCTGACAGCACCTTCTTAGAGGAGGGGCTGGATGTTGGTGCTCCCCAGGGCAATGCCCTCCCCCCACTCCAAGACTGAGGGTACCTGTTCCCTGCTACCACCCTGGGATAGGCTTTCTACATACCAGGTGGTCACACACACTCTGTGGATGAGGCCTGATGCAAAGAGAGCGAGTAAAAGACAGACGAGAACTGGAGCAAAAGAGAGAAGGGGAGAAATGTCAGAGGCAGTGAGTGTCTGCCCTGGGCATGCTGCATTGGCCGGCCAGCATCCCCCAAGGGGAGGAGCAGCAAGTGGGAACCCTCCCCCAGTAGAGCAGGGTTAGGGTCCCTTGGCGGGGAGCAGCACGTGGGAACCCCAGAGCAGGGTTAGGGTCCCACTGGGAGTGCAGCATGGGGAGGATTTTCCCAGGGCAGGGCTGGGGTCCCAAAGGCGGGGCAGCGCGTCTGCTCAGTGCAGCACTGGACTCTCAGCAGGGCAGCTCCCTGCAGACCCAGCGTCTCAGGAATAATCAGACCCCCCGCCCCCCACTTGCATCCTCTTGGATCTTGCGGTTTCTTTTAATTACCTGGGAGCTATGGATGTGACACCCCCTCCCCCTCCCCCTCTCCGGCAGGGCTGGGCACTTACTCTCCGGGAATATTTTGGCTTGGAACCCTTTGCCGAAGACCAGACTCTCCAGGTTGTTGAAGGCCTGGAGCCAGAGTTAAGGAAAGGAAGGGAGGCAGCTGCCCCTGAGGAGGCAGCGCAAGGTCCGCCCCAGCTCAAGTCTCCCCCCCCCCCATGTCCCAAAGGATACGGTGAGGGAGAAGATGAAGAGCGCGGATCCCAGCAGCCCGCCCTGGATGGTCAGCCACTCGGTGGAGGCCAGCTGCTTGCTGTACATCTGCATCCCGGTGAAGAGCAGCAGGGAGAGGAGCGAGGAGAGCGCCAGGGACGTGCCTGTGCCCACGGCTGGGGACAGAGCAAGAATCACACAATGGGGCGCTGGGCCACTGCCGGGCCCTCCCCAGCAACCCGCAGCCACCCGCCAGCTCACGCTGCTGTGTGAAAGGCCACGCGGCGCCCGGTCGCCAGGGTGATGGGTGCCACACGAGCTGTGTGCTGTGCAGCAGCCCTGCCCTAGTGCCCGGGCAGCCAGGTGCCAGCAGCCCCCTGTGAGCGCGGGGGGCACCATGGGCACGAAGCCTTGGGGTGATCCCTGCCCACCTCTCCTGGCGGGCACCCCTAGACCCCCCTGCCTGGGGCACCTCACTTCACCCCCACTGTGCCCCCCCAGGCCCCCCCAGGGCACCACACTCCATCACCCTGCCCACCCTGGGGCACCTTCCCAGCGGGCACCCCCAAATTCCCCCCACCTGGGGCACCTCATCCCCCCAGAACACCATACCGCCCCGCCCTGCACCCCCAGACCCCCCCCAGGCACCTCCCCTGGCAGGCACCCCCAGACCCCCCCGCCTGGAGCACCAAACCTCACCCCCCTGCCCCCCGCCTGGGGCACCTCAACCCCCACCCTGCACCCCCGGCACCCCCAGTCCCCCCCGGGCACCTCCCCCTGGCAGGCACCCCCAGCCCCCCCCCGCCTGGGGCACCAAACCTCACCCCCTGCCCCCCCGCCTGGGGCACCTCACCCCCCCGCCCTGCACCCCCAGCACCCCCAGTCCCCCCCGGGCACCTCCCCTGGCAGGCACCCCCAGCCCCCCCGCCTGGGGCACCAAACCTCACCCCCCTGCCCCCCGCCTGGGGCACCTCACCCCCCCGCCCTGCACCCCCGGGTACCCCCAGTCCCCCCCCGCCTGGGGCACCAAACCTCACCCCCTGGCCCCCCCCCGCCTGGGGCACTTCACCCCCCGCCCTGCACCCCCGGTCCCCCCCGGCACCTCCCCTGGCAGGCACCCCCAGCCCCCCCCGCCTGGGGCACCAAACCTCACCCCCCTGCCCCCCGCCTGGGGCACCTCACCCCCCGCCCTGCACCCCCAGCACCCCCAGTCCCCCCCGGGCACCTCCCCTGGCAGGCACCCCCAGCCCCCCCGCCTGGGGCACCAAACCTCACCCCCGCCCCCCCGGGCACCTCACCCCCCCGCCCTGCACCCCCGGGCACCCCCAGTCCCCCCCCGCCTGGGGCACCAAACCTCACCCCCCTGCCCCCCCCAGGGCCCCCCGCCTGGGGCACCTCACCCCCCCGCCCTGCACCCCCGGGCACCCCCAGTCCCCCCCCGCCTGGGGCACCAAACCTCACCCCCTGCCCCCCCGCCTGGGGCACCTCACCCCCCGCCCTGCACCCCCGGGCACCCCCAGTCCCCCCCCCGCCTGGGGCACCAAACCTCACCCCCCCCCCCCCAGGGCCCCCCGCCTGGGGCACCTCACCCCCCGCCCTGCACCCCCGGGCACCCCCAGTCCCCCCCGCCCTGCACCCCCGGGCACCCCCAGTCCCCCCGCCTGGGGCACCAAACCTCACCCCCTGCCCCCCAGGGCACCTCACCCCCACCCCCGTTACCCATGGTGCCCCGCGAGACGCCGCCGCCGACCCGTCCGCTCTGAGACCCAGACCCGCCGACCCGGTCTCCTGCGCACGCGCGGCCAACCCGGCACGGAGAGCCGCACTGCGCACGCGCGAGGCCGAGGCTGCTCGGGAAGGGACGCGGCAGTGAGCGAGTGGTGAGTCTTTTGCGCATGCGCAGCCCTACGGCCTTCCAGTGATCTCTGAGTCCGCCTGGCGGCCGAGAGCCGACGATGCAACCCGCGTTGTGCGATTTCGTGCGCATGTGCAGAGCCTTGTAATGCAGCGCCCCCTGGAGGCTGGACGTAGACATTGCAGATATCCTAAAGCGCCCCCACTCTACTAGCCTGGCAGGAGCTCCCTCCCCTCCGGCCCTTATGGGTGTAGGGGCTGGACCGGGGGTGCCGCACCCCCCCATGCCTTGAAGTGGTTTCCAGCATATCCAGGGGAAGTTCGGTTCAATGGCTCAGCACCGCACTGTACACATTGCTCCAGCACCCTGCTCTTGCGGGGAGGGGTCTGGGGCTGTGGGGCCCTGGGCACTGGGGTGGGACCTGTCTGTGTCCACCGAGGCGCAGTAGGGACAGACAGACATAGACCGAGGGGTGGACAGACGGGTGGATACAGAGACCTGTCTGCACTAGCCATGGTGGTGGAGGGGGCACAGCAGTGGGGCTAGGAGCAAAGGGGGTGGGAGCAGTGGGGCTGGGGGCTGGAAGCAGTGGGGCTGGGAGCAGCAGATCACATGTCTGGTGCCTCCCACGCTGTGGCCAATGCCCTCGGCACTGAAGTGGTTTTCACCAACTCCCCATCCCCTCCCCTGTCCCCGTTTCCCCCCTTTGGGCCCTTTCTCAGGGTCTGGGCGTTAACTGCTGCACTAAGAGGCCCATTAGGGCTCTCTGGTGACTCACTGTTCTAGCAGTGCCCCTGGGTGCTGGCATCTTCCAGCCCGGACAACTCAGCTTTAACATGATTCAGAGTAGCAGCCGTGTTAGTCTGTATTCGCAAAAAGAACAGGAGGACTTGTGGCACCTTAGAGACGAACCAATTTATTTGAGCATAAGCTTTCGTGAGCTACAGCTCACTTCATCGGATGCATTCAGTGGAAAATACCGTTACATGGAGCTCGTGCCATGACGTCTGGACCCCAGAGTGTGCCTCAAGTTTTCAATCCTCTCCTTTCCGGGCCTGGGCTGCCAGTCACAGGGCCTTTTCCCTTCTGCTCTGGCTCTGCACAGCCCGGGGCTGGAGAGACACACAGCCCAGCAGCTTGGCAGCCCCTAGGCCATGTCCACATTGGCAAACAGTGTTTAGCATCCGATGAAGTGAGCTGTAGCTCACGAAAGCTTATGCTCAAATAAATTGGTTAGTCTCTAAGGTGCCACAAGTACTCCTTTTCTTTTTGCGAATACAGACTAACACGGCTGTTACTCTGAAACCAGTGTTTAGCTTGTATCACGTTCACAATGCGGACAGACAGTCGTCGAGTGGGTCGAGGGAAAGCCCAGGGGGAGCCGAGGGCTAGGCACCAGGGGTTAAAACACACCTTTTTCCTAGGGAAGACAAGGCCTGTGGAATCAAGAGAGATGAGGTGGGGGAGGGAATATCTTACTGGACCAGAGTCTGTGGGTGAGAAACAAGCTTCCGAGCTGCTCAGAGCTCTTCTGACAGGTCTGGGGAACAAATCAGACCGGCTCCCAGCAAGAGTCCCCGTTGTACCCAACCCCCACGGCAGCAGGCACTACCCAGCGGCCATGCTGGCAGCCAAACTCCCCTCTCCATTGGTGCGAGATCCCCAGCGGGGATGGGGGAGCCTGGCTCTCAGGTCATACGTCTGGCGTTGCACAGGGGTGTGGACCATGGCAGGGAGGTGCTTTCACGGGGCCCCAGATCCCCAAAGGGACTGAGCTGAGGGGGTGGGCGTCCTGGTGTCAGGGGGTGTGCAGGCGATGGGCCAGTCTCCGTGATGCTGGGCTAGTAACCCCAGCCAGGCTGCCTCTGTCCCGCTCTCCCCTCCCCGGCACTGGCTGTTGCCCCCTGCCACACGAGGGGCAGCCCTGCCCCGAGGGTGCCAGTCCCCCTCCTCTGTCTGCAGGAGCAGGGGGGCAGCCCTGCCCCCCTCCACGTGCCAGCCCCTCGCCCCTACCCCGGGAGCATGCGCACCGCTCCCTGCCTCAGCTCGGCTCCTCCGTGCGCCCCCCCGCCGCAGCGTGGGGTGTTCGCCGCCGCCGCGCTGCCGTCGGGACCGGAGCCCGGCCGGGGGCGGCCGGAGCCATGGCGGAGGGCGAGGAGCTGCAGACCTTCACCTCCATCATGGATGCGCTCGTGCGGATCAGTGTGAGCGGCTGGGGGCTGGCTCCTCGGGCGGGGGGTGGGGGGGCACGCCCCGTGATGGGGGGTACGGGTATGGGGCGCACGGGGGTGTGCAATGCACGGGGGTGATCGGTGTGCATTGCACGGGGATGGGGCGTGCAGGGGCCGGGAGGATGATTGTGCAGTGCAAAGGATACTCGGGTGTGCAATGCACGGGGATCACTGGGTGTGTAGTGTGTGGGGGATGGGCGTGCAATGCACGGGGTGGGGTAGATGATGGTGGTGGCATGGGAGGGGGGTGAGCAGGAACCAGACCAGCTGCTTGTGGGGGTGAGAGGCCCCCGGGGCTCCCCATTCGCCTCCATCCCTGCCCTGGACCCGCCTTCCCCAGAGGCTGAGAAGGATCCCGAGCATCCATGCAGCTCTCAGTCTCCATGGCAACCCTATGCAGGAGCGCCCAGGGCTGGATGCCAGGCAGCAGCAGCAGGGCCCAGTCCAGCTTCTGTCTCTGCCCTGCCCCCTTCTCCCCCTCCTCCTCCCTCCCCCCCCTTGCTTTGTGTCGTCTGCGCCCCTTCTCCGGAGGCAGAGATGGCATCCAAGAGATGCAGCAAGGTGAGCGCGGGCCCTGGCCAGCTGACAGCTCGCCCGCCGGGGGTCTGGGAGCAGGGGGACTGTCTGGGCTTTGTCCTTGGCCCCTGCGGGCCAGAGATGGATGGCCTGGCAGGCTGCAGGCTTGCTGGCTGCCTCGATCCCCAGTGGCATTGTGCAGCAGCGAGGTGGGGGGGGGTGTGTGCATGTCTGCGGTGCACACCGAACTGGGCAGATGCACCTGGCAGATGCCAGCCACACAAGGGGCAGCCCCTAGCAGGGGCAGCCTAGCCAGGAGCGGAGGGCCCGTGAATGGGGCTTGGGGCAGAGGGAGCTGTGTGTTTTGGGCCGGGGGGAGGCTCTTTGCCCCACTGGGGGAGTTGTCAGCTTGTGGGCTCCTCAGGACAACGCACTGGGACTTGGGGCCTGCCCTGGGACTGGCTCCGGGGCCCGCATCAGGCCCTTCCCTTGGTCGCTTTGGGCCGCAAGCAGAGCCGGGATTTCGCTCTTTCTGGGTTGGAACTGGACGGGTTTGGGGGCTGGGTGGGCGATTGCAGAGCAAACCCGCAGCGAACAGGCCCGGTGTGTGCAATGGGGGCGGGGAGGGGGCGTTTAGGGGGAAGCAGCGTGCCCCAGACCCTCTAACGAAGCAGCAAATTCTGCCATCGTTCCGAATGCAAAGCGCAGTGTGGAAACCAGGGTCCTTCTGGGAAACGCCCCGAGCTCTGCTCTGAGGGCCGGGGAATGGAGAAGGAGCAGCCTGGGGAGCTGGGGTCAGAGCCCACGGGAGCGCGTGGCAGGCTGGCCAGACTGGAGGAATCTGGGACCATGCACCTAGCTGGGGGCTGGCTGGGCAGGTTCTGCAGCCAGCTGGGCACCTGCAGGGAACCTGGCACCTCTTGTTACCTGCTGAAAGCGGCCAGTTGGCAGCTGTTTCTGGGACGAGCGGCTGTGAGACTGGGGGGATGGGAGGGGCCCCCCTGGGGAGTGGCTGTAATACCTGCCCAGCAAAGGCTCCCCCATGTGGCTGCCAGCATGGCGCTCCCGGGTCAGGACTGAGCCCCAGCACCCCCTCTGGTGGGGGTGGGGAAAGGCAGTTCCTAGGGGGGCAGTTGTGACCTTTCTCCTTGGCCCCTCTCCAGACCAGCATGAAGAACATGGAACGGGAGCTGATCTGCCCTGTCTGCAAGGAGATGTACAAGCAGCCGCTGGCCCTGCCCTGCATGCACAATGTCTGCCACGTCTGTGCCAGTGAGATCCTCGTGCAGCATGGCTACATCTGCTGTGACCCCAGTTCGGAGCCCACCTCGCCTGCCTCCACACCGGCCACCCGCAGCCCCCGCATGGGCCGCAGGGTTGTCCCCAAACCCGACCGCTTGGATCGGCTCCTCAAGTCAGGTGGGGACAGAGCAGCACGTCCTGGGATTCCCAGCCCTGCCACAGGAGGACCCTGCTTCTAGGGTCTGGGGGATGCAGCTTCCACATCCTCTGAGCCCTGGAAAATCCCCAGAGTGCATTGGGAGCAGAAGGCTCCTGATCCCCCTTGGCAGAGTGGGAGGAGTCTGTGCATCTTGGTGCAGGAATTCACTGGGGAAGCTCAGTCAGGGGCCGGCAGGAGGCTGCGAGGCCTGGGAGGGTAACCAGGCCTGAGGTCTCTGTGCAAGGGGCAGAGGGCGGGGATGGGTAGGTGACGGCCATGGCAGGGGGGTGACGGCCGTGGCGGGAGGGTTAATGGCTGTGGCGGGGAGGGATCGGCCGTGGCAGGGGGGTGACAGCCGTGGCGAGGGTTCGTGGCCGTGGCAGGGGGATGGCGGCCGTGGCGGGAGGGTTAATGGCTGTGGCGGGGAGGGATCGGCCGTGGCAGGGGGGTGATGGCCGTGGCGAGGGTTCGTGGCCGTGGCAGGGGGATGGCGGCCGTGGCGGGAGGGTTAATGGCTGTGGCGGGGAGGGGTCGGCTGTGGCAGGGGGTGACGGCCGTGGCGAGGGTTCGTGGCCGTGGCAGGGGGATGGCGGCCGTGGCGGGAGGGTTAATGGCTGTGGCGGGGAGGGGTCAGCCGTGGCAGGGGGGTGACGGCCGTGGCGAGGGTTCGTGGCCGTGGCAGGGGGGTGGCGGCCGTGGCGGGAGGGTTAATGGCTGTGGCGGGGAGGGGTCGGCCGTGGCAGGGGGGTGACGGCCGTGGCGAGGGTTCGTGGCCGTGGCAGGGGGGTGGCGGCCGTGGCGGGAGGGTTAATGGCTGTGGCGGGGAGGGGTCGGCCGTGGCAGGGGGGTGACAGCCGTGGTGAGGGTTCGTGGCCGTGGCAGGGGGATGGCGGCCGTGGCGGGAGGGTTAATGGCTGTGGCAGGGAGGGGTCGGCCGTGGCAGCGGGGTGACGGCCGTGGCGAGGGTTCGTGGCCGTGGCAGGGGGATGGCGGCCGTGGCGGGAGGGTTAATGGCTGTGGCGGGGAGGGGTCGGCCGTGGCAGGGCTGAGTGTCATGTGACAGGCTTCTGGGGTCCCCCAGGGTTTGGCACCTACCCGGGCCGGAAGCGGGGGGCCGTGCACCCCCAGACCGTCAGCTTTCCGTGCCCGTCCTGCCAGCGGGATGTGGAGCTGGGCGAGCGGGGCCTGGGCAGCCTGTTCCGGAACCTGACGCTGGAGCGGGCTGTGGAGCGGTACCGCCAGACCATCAGCATCGGCACCGCCATCGTGTGCCAGTTTTGCAAGCCCCCCCCGCTGGAGGCCACCAAGGGCTGCACCGAGTGCAAGTCGAGCTTCTGCAACGAGTGCTTCAAGCTCTGCCACCCCTGGGGCACCCAGAAGGCCCAGCACGAGCCCACGCCGCCCACCCTCAACTTCCGGCCCAAGGTAGGGGCTGCCCAGGGCGTCCCGGGCCAGGCTCCAGCGAGGCCCGGACGCGAGCAGTCCCCAGGCTGGGCCCTGGGCCCTGGGGCATGGCTGGGGAGAGGTCTGGGTGCTGGGACTCGGTTGGGGAGGGGGTGGCGTGTCTGGGCCTGGCGTCACCCGCCTGTGCCCAGAGCAGGGGCCACCGGGCACCTGAACATGGCTCCGAGGTGAAAGGGCCTCTGGCTGCTGCTGCACGGGCGGCTGGGGTGGAGGCAGGCGGGGGGGCTGGAGGCGTGTAGGGCGATGCCAGCCCCGGTGTCGCACCCCTGCGTGCTGGCGGGGGCCTGATGCCAGGGACACTGGGGGGGGTGCCGAGATCAGGGGGCACGTGGATGGAAGGGGGATGCTGAGGCAGCTGGGGGGGGCACTGAGTGGGGAGGGGGGGTGCTGACACCCACTGGCGGGGTGGGGGTGCTGGCTGGAAAGCAGGGCGCCGGCCCCTGTTGCTGAGCGTGGGCCTTGCTGCGCAGGGTCTGATGTGTCCGGAGCACAAGGAGGAGGTGACTCACTACTGCAAGACCTGCCAGCGGCTGGTGTGCCCTCTGTGCCGCGTGCGCCGCACTCATGCCAGCCACAAGATCACGCCTGTGCTGAGCGCCTACCAGGCCCTGCGGGTAAGGGATGCACCGGGGCTTCCCAGGCCAGAGCTGGGGGGTGCAGATGGAGTATGGGTGGTGGGGAGCTTTGTGCTGGCACTTGGGGCATGGGCAGGGTGGGGCGTGGGTCTCCATGGCAGAGAGGGTCAGGTACAGATGGGGGATTGGCAGGCCGGGAGGACTGTCTCTCTGTCAGAGCTGGGCAACACAAGTGGGATGTACCCTGAGGGGGGGAATCCCATCCCGGAGCTGGGGGTGTGCAGATCAATAGGGCATGCACAGGGTGGGGGTCCAGTACCAGCAGTGGAGGGTGCAGATGAGACATGCAGTGAGCAAGGTGCATGCAGTGGGGGGGGATGCAGTGAATGGGGTACATGTCGTGGGGGGAATCAGTGAACGAGGTGCATGCAGAGGGGTGATGCAGTGAGCAAGGTGCATGCAGTGGGGATGCATTGAGTGGGGTGCATGCAGTGTCGGGGGGTCAGGTCCCTTTGTAAACCTGCCGCCACCCTCGTGGACTGTGCATGTTGGCCCAGGCGTGGGGCCCGGCTTGTTCAATGTGCACAGCCAGGTGGCTGGGTTCAGAGCCCTCCTCCCTCCCCGTGGACTGGACGGTGCGAGGTGAGTGGCCTGTGTGTCTCTTTTGCCCACGCTGCCTGTGTAGGAGAAGCTGACGAAGAGCCTCACCTACATCCTGAGCAGCCAGGACACGGTGCAGGTGCAGATCGCGGAGCTGGAGGAGACGGTGAAGCACACCGAGGTGAGCGGGGGTCGCCAGCAAGGGGCACTGCCAGGACCGGGGGATGGGACGCTGCTTCACCCCTCTGGGGCGAGGGCAGGAGGTGTCCTGGCACTGTGCTCCATCCCCAGGGCACCCCCAGGCCAGGTGCCAAAGCCCCGAGGCAGCGGGGCCCCTGTGTGGAGGGAGGCCCCATGGTGAATCTGCTCTGGTCGGGCAGGTGAGTGGGTCCCAGGCCAAGGAGGAGGTTTCCCAGCTGATACGGGGCCTGTGCACGGTGCTGGAGGAGAAGCAGACGGCCCTGCTGCAGGCCATCCAGGAGTCCCAGCAGGAGCGGCTGGCCAGCCTGCACCACCAGATCCAGGAGCACCGGGCCATGCTGGAGAACTCGGGCATGGTGGGCTACGCCCAGGAGGTGCTGAAGGAGACCGACCACCCCTGCTTTGTCCAGGCAGCCAAGCAGCTGCACAGCAGGTACCGTTCCCTCTGATTTCGTTGGGGTGGGTCCTGCTTTGAGCAGGGGGTGGGACAAGAACCTCCTGAGGTCCCTTCCAACCCTGATCGTCTGTGGTTCTGTGGGCGCCGCAGGGGATCTCCCGGGGCCAGGGATCTGGCTGATGCGCTGTCCCCATCTCCCAGTGCAGTGGGACACATGCAGGAGGAGCCTTCCACCCCTGTGGGCTAGCGGGAGGGACTCGGGGCTCAATTGCCGGGAGCCCCCATACTGGTGCGTGAGTAGGACTGGGCACTGGTGCCACCGGGAGCCCCTTACCGGGGCCCGTTGCACCGACGCCTGAATCTCCCGTCGTCGCAGGATCGTCAGGGCCACAGACTCGCTGCAGAGCTTCCGGCCTGCTGCCACTTCGTCCTTCAGCCGCTTCCAGCTGGACCTCAGCAGAGAGATGAAGCTGCTCGCGGACCTGACCTTTATCAAAGGTAAACATGACAGCCGGAGACCTGCGGCCAGCCGCAGGGGAGGAGCTCTGGGCTGAGGGGGAGGAGCTTCCTCTGTGGCTTCCTTTAGGGGGAGGAGCTTCCTTTGTGGCTTCCTTTAGGGGGAGGAGCTCTGGGCTGTGTGGGAGGAGTTCTGGAATGAGGGGAGGGGCTTCCTGGATGGGGAGGAGCTCTATGCTGAGAGGGAGGAGCTTTCTCTCTGCTTTCCTGGAGAGGGAGGAGCTGTGTGCAGAGTGGAAGGAGCTTCCTGCCAAGCACCCTGCAGCGGGAGAAGCGCTCTGTCTGGCACCCTGCAGGGGGAGGAGCTCTGTCTGGAGGGGGAGGAGCTCCCTGCCTGGCAGCTGGAGTGGGAGGAGCTCTGTCTGGAGTGGGAGGAGCTCCTGTCTGGCAGCCTGACCCCCACACCTCCCTTCTGTGTGGAGCTGGATCAGGGGCTGGCAGCTGCTGGAGAGAGACCTGTGGGAGAAGTGGCCTCATGGGCTCCCGCAAAGCCTCCCACACTTCGGGTCCTGCCCTCAGCTACCGCGTTGTCCTGCCCTACCCAGGGGGCCCCTCCTGGCAGGAAGCTGCTCGCTCTCGGGGCAGGCAGGGTATGTGAAATACCCAGGGGGGCTCGGGGCTCCCTATAGAGTCAAGAGACGGGTCCCCTGGCCCAGCAGCCCCCAGAGTCCATGGGGCTCAGCCAGCGTCAGCCCCCACCCTGTGCTCCAGGCTCCCTGCAGGCAGGGCAGGGGCAGAGGGTAGGAAGCTGGGGGTCAAGAGCCTGTGCGGTGGGACTTGGATGTGAGCAAACAGGACCAGGACCCTGTGCCAGATGCAGAAGGGTGAGTAGCCAGCTGGGCCAGGCTGGGCCAGGACTCCCTGTGGGGGAGCGCTCCCATGGGAAGGGCAGGTGCCCTCCCCCACGGGCAGGTGCCCACCCCGGGCCCTGCACTGCACCGGCTGGGGACTCTTTTCAGACTCGCTTCTACCTCTGTTTGTTTATAGGCTATGGCCGCTGCTGAGTCGTCACTGAAGTACCCGAGGCAAGTCACGCTCCCGCCCCTAGACCTGCCCCAGCTCTCTCTCACCAGACCTCTGTCCTCTTCCCCCATTCATCCCCCCATCCCTCGCTTCTGTGCCCATGCCCCATCTGCCCCCCATCCCTCGCTTCTGTGCCCTTCCCCATCTGCCCCCCATCCCTCGCTTCTGTGCCCTTCCCCATCTGCCCCCCATCCCTCGCTTCTGTGCCCGTGCCCCATCTGCCCCCCATCCCTCGCTTCTGTGCCCATGCCCCATCTGCCCCCCATCCCTCGCTTCTGTGCCCGCCCCCCATCTACCCCCCATCCCTCGCTTCTGTGCCCATGCCCCATCTGCCCCCCATCCCTCGCTTCTGTGCCCTTCCCCATCTGCCCCCCATCCCTCGCTTCTGTGCCCATGCCCCATCTGCCCCCCATCCCTCGCTTCTGTGCCCATCCCCCATCTGCCCCCCATCCCTCGCTTCTGTGCCCTTCCCCATCTGCCCCCCATCCCTCGCTTCTGTGCCCATGCCCCATCTGCCCCCCATCCCTCGCTTCTGTGCCCTTCCCCATCTGCCCCCCATCCCTCGCTTCTGTGCCCATCCCCCATCTGCCCCCATTCCTCCATCCCTCCCTTCTGTGCCCGCCCCCCATCTGCCCCCCATCCCTCGCTTCTGTGCCCACCCCCATCTGCCCCCATCCCCCCATCCCTCGCTTCTGTGCCCATTCCCCATCTGCCCCCATCCCTCCATCCCTCGCTTCTGTGCCCGCCCCCATCCCTTGCTTCTGAGCCCATCCCCCATCTGCCCTCCATCCCTTGCTTCTGTGCCCATCCCCATCTGCCCCCATCCCTCCATCCCTCGCTTCTGTGCCCGCCCCCCATCTGCCCCCCATCCCACGCTTCTGTGCCCGCCCCCATCTGCCCCCATCCCCCCATCTCTCACTTCTGTGCCCATCCCCATCTGCCCCCAATCCCTCGCTTCTGTGCCCGCTCCCATCTACCCCCCATCCCTCCATCCCTCGCTTCTGAGCACATCCCCCATCTGCCCTCCATCCCTTGCTTCTGTGCCCACCCCCATCTGCCCCCATCCCCCCATCCCTCACTTCTGTGCCCATCCCCATCTGCCCCCCATTCCTCGTTTCTGTGCCTGCCCCCCATCTGCCCCCCATCCCTCGCTTCTGTGCCCACCCCCATCTGCCCCCATCCCTCCATCCCTCGCTTCTGTGCCCGCCCCCCATCTGCCCCCCATCCCTCGCTTCTGTGCCCGCCCCCCATCTGCCCTCCATCCCTCGCTTCTGTGCCCATGCCCCATGTGCCCCCCATCCCTCGCTTCTGTGCCCTTCCCCATCTGCCCCCATCCCTCCATCCCTCGCTTCTGTGCCCATCCCCATCTGCCCCATCCCCCCACCCTCGCTTCTGTGCCCTTCCCCATCTGCCCCCATCCCTCCATCCCTCGCTTCTGTGCCCATCCCCATCTGCCCCCATCCCCCCACCCTCGCTTCTGTGCCCTTCCCCATCTGCCCCATCCCTCCATCCCTCGCTTCTGTGCCCATCCCCATCTGCCCCCATCCCCCCACCCTCGCTTCTGTGCCCTTCCCCATCTGCCCCCATCCCTCCATCCCTCGCTTCTGTGCCCATCCCCATCTGCCCCCATCCCCCCACCCTCGCTTCTGTGCCCGCCCCCATCTGCCCCCATCCCTCCATCCCTCGCTTCTGTGCCCATCCCCATCTGCCCTCCATCCCTCGCTTCTGTGCCCGCCCCTATCCCTTGCTTCTGAGCCCATCCCCCATCTGCCCCCATCCCTCCATCCCTTGCTTCTGTGCCCATCCCCATCTGCCCCCATCCCTCCATCCCTCGCTTCTGTGCCCGCCCCCCATCTGCCCCCCATCCCTCGCTTCTGTGCCTGCCCCATCTACCCCCCATCCCGCCATCCCTCGCTTCTGTGTCCACCCCCCATCCCTCCATCCCTCGCTTTTGTGCCCACCCCCATCTGCCCCCCATCTCTCGCTTCTGTGCCCGCCCCCCATCTGCCCCCATCCCCCCATCCCTCGCTTCTGTGCCCGCCCCATCTGCCCTCCATCCCTCGCTTCTGTGCCCATCCCCCATCTGCCCGCATCCCTCGCTTCTGTGCCCGCCCCATCTACCCCCCATCCCCCCATCCCTTGCTTCTGTGCCCACCCCCATCTGACCCCCATCCCTCGCTTCTGTGCCCACCCCCATCTGCCCTCCATCCCTCGCTTCTGTGCCCATCCCCCATCTGCCCCCATCCCCCCATCCCTCGCTTCTGTGCCCGCCCCCCATCTGCCCCCATCCCTCCATCCCTCGCTTCTGTCTCCATCCCCCCATCTGCCACTCCATCCTTCTGTGCCCATCCCTCACTTCCCACCCATCCCTGTCCCTATTCCTCCATCCCTGTGTCTCCATCCCCCACTATCCTCATCCCATCCCTCCGTCCTCTCTCCCCTCTGTTCCAGCTCCCCACCCCTCACCGCCCAGTCCCCGCCACCACCCTCCATCACGCTGTGCCCGGTTCCATCCCCAGCTCCATCCTTCAGTTCCCTGCTCCCCCTCATCCCCTCCTGTGTCTCCAGCCTCTGCTCCCTCCCTGCCTCTCTCTCCCCACACTTGCACTCAGCCCGCCTGGTCCCTGGAGCCTCTCAGCAGCCCCTGGCCCCGTCTCCCTGACTCTCCCCCTGGTGCCCACACAAGCTCTCGGCAGTCAGAGTCCCCTAGCCTCCTGCTGGTTGTGCGTCCGTCCGTCCGTCCGGAATGCCCCCGCCCTGCGTCTGGCCGCTCGCCTGCCCCCCAAGTGGGGCCTGCTCGCTTAGCCTGTGTCTCTCCCTGCAGCCCCCGAGGCGCCGGTGATCGACACGCAGCGCACCTACGCCTACGACCAGATCTTCCTCTGCTGGCGCCTGCCCCAGCTCTCGCCGCCCGCCTGGCACTTCACTGTGGAGTACCGCAAGAGCGACGCCAAGGCCAAGGCGCTCAAGCTGTGGCAGCGGCGGGAGGAAGTGCGGGGCACCAGCGCCCTGGTGGAGTACCTGGACACGGACAGCGTCTACGTGCTGAGAGTGAAGGGCTGCAACAAGGCCGGCTTCGGGGAGTACAGCGAAGATATCTACCTGCACACGCCGCCCGCACCAGGTGAGGGGGGATCGACCTGCACACGCCGCCCGCACCGGGTGAGGGGGGATCGACCTGCACACACCGCCCGCACCGGGTGAGGGGGGATCGACCTGCACACGCCGCCCACACCGGGTGAGGGGGGGGGATCTACCTGCACACGCCGCCCGCACCGGGTGGGGGGGGGATCTACCTGCACACGCCACCCTCACCGGGTGAGGGGGGGGGATCTACCTGCACACGCCGCCCGCACCGGGTGGGGGGGGGATCTACCTGCACACGCCGCCCGTACCGGGTGAGGGGATATCCCCTCCTGTTCTGCCTGCACCAGGTGTGGGGGGACCTACCTGCACACACCGCCTGCACCAGGTAAGGGATATTTATATGAGGGAAGATTAATAAGACTGGGAATTTTCAGCTTGGAAAAGAGACGACTAAGGGGGGATATGATTGAGGTCTATAAAATCATGACAGGTGTGGAGAAGTGAATCAGGAAATGTTATTTACTCCTTCTCATAACACAAGAACTAGGGGTTGCCAAATTAAATTAATGGGCAGCAGGTTTAAAACAAACAAAAGGAAGTATTTCTTCACACAGCGCACAGTCAACCTGTGGAACTCCTTGCCAGATGATGTTGTGAAGGCCAAGACATTACCAGGGTTCAAAAAAGAACTAGATAAATTCATGGAGGATAGGTCCATCAATGGCTATGAGCCAGGATGGGCAGGGATGGTGTCCCTAGCCTCTGTTTGCCAGAGGCTGGGAATGGGCGACAGGGGATGGATCACTGGGCGATTCCCTGTTCTGTTCATTCCCTCTGGGGCACCTGGCACTGGCCACCATCGGCAGACAGGACACTGGGCTGGATGGACCCTTGGTCTGACCCAGTCTGGTCGTTCTTATGAGATTATAGGAATTTCCTGTTTTCACAATATTTTTCTGAAACTTTTTAAATCAACCTTTCATTCACTATATACTGTACTCCCTCCCATCCCTCCACCTGCTTTAACCCAAAACCTGAGTTTTTTCAAAGTGAAATCATGGAATTATATTTTTTGCGAAAGACTTTGATATACATTTAAACATCTGATGGACCCCACCCCAGAGATGGCTGCATGTCAGCACTGGGTGAGCAATTGCCGCACAAGGTTGCTATCTGGCTATCAACCAGCTGCTGCACCCAACCCCAGAGGTGGTTGCATTTCATGCCCTGGGGCTGTGAAACACCACAGGGATAAAGAAAGATGAGGACTCAGAAGCAGGCCTAAAACCTCAGTATCTAGATACTATGGGAACTGATGATCTCCCTTCTGTTTGCCAGAAGCTGGGAATGGGCGACGGGGGATGGATCACTTGGTGATTCCCTGTTCTGTTCATTCCCTCTGGGGCACCTGGCACTGGCCACTGTGGAAGACAGGACACTGGGCTAGATGGACCCTTGGTCTGACCCAGTCTGGCCGTTCTTATGTTACCCCCCCAGCGCCGTCTGTGCCAGGTTGGGGGGACCTACCTGCCCACACCTCCCACAGCACACATCTGTGACCTGCAGACGGAGGGCTCTAAGCGAGCCCTGGGGATCTCCATGGGGATGCACCTCGGGAGTCACCCCAGCCCCAGAGCCGCAGCACGGGGAAGTGCTGTGAGTGGTCAGTGTCTGTGAGTCCCGTGCACTCGACCCAGGGTTGTGGCGACTCCCAGCTAGGGGGAAGCCCAGGTTGCTGCGCCCCTGAGGAGTCCCACGTGTCCCTGCGTCCCGCCAGGAGAGGAGCCTGTGGGGGTGTGGGGCCCCCCTGTCTTTCAGCCCTTCCCCACTCTCTGTTCTCTCTCGCTTCTCAGTCCTGAGCTTCTTCCTCGATAACCGCTGGGGCTTCAACCGGGAGCGCCTGGCCATCAGCAAGGACCAGCGGGCTGTGCGTAGTGTACCTGGCCTGCCCATGCTCTTTGCCGCTGAGCGCCTCATGACCAGCTGCCACCTCTCCATCGACCTGCTCATCGGCGACGTGGCCGTCACGCAGGGCCGCAGTTACTGGGCCTGCTGCGTGGACCCCAGCTCCTACCTGGTCAAGGTGGGCGTGGGGCTGGAGAGCAAGCTGCAGGAGTGGTTCCAGGTGCCGCAGGACGTGGTGAGCCCCAGGTGAGGGCAGAAGCTGGGCCACCCACGCTGGGGGTGGGGGAGGCAGGGCCCAGCAATGCCCCCAGGTCCGTGGGCCTTGGGCTGGAGCTCCCATCACACTGTCAGGCCCTTGGGCTGGTTCTCTGGAGCTCCCAGCATCCCCTCGGGCCCCTCCCTCTGTCGCACCCCACACCCGGCTAAGCCCTTGGCATGCTTTACTGCTCCCTGAGGGAGGGGCCTGGATGCTAACCGGGCAGAGGGGCAGAGACCATGGGGGGCTTCAGCCCCCTCTGTCTGAGGCTGCCATGCCCCAGGGGATGGGATCGTCTCAGGGCGGATCCGTCTGTGTGTCCGTCCACACCATTTACTCATGCTCCCCCTCCTGCCGGGCAGGTACGACCCAGACAGCGGGCATGACAGTGGGGCGGAAGACGCCACCGTGGACGTGCCCCCCCCATACGCCTTCCTGACCATCGGCATGGGCAAGATCCTGCTGCCCCATGGCTCGGCCCTCACCTCCCGCGACCCCAGCGGCTGCACCATCCCCCTGCCCCCCCGCATCGGCGTCTGCCTGGACTACGAGCGGGGCAAGGTGAGCTTCTACGACGCTGTCTCCTTCCGCGGCCTGTGGGAGTGCGGCGTGGACTGCTCGGGCCCTGTCTGCCCGGCCTTCTGCTTCATCGGGGGCGGGGCCCTGCAGCTGCAGGAGCTGGTGGCCAGCAAACAGGAGCGCAAAGTGACCATCGGGGGCCTCTCCAAGCTGGACTGAGCCGGCCATGGCACACGCCGGCCGGGGATTGGCCCCGGGGCCAGCTGCCGGCAATGGGATTGCACGCCGCGGACATGCCACCAGGAGGAGCCGCCTGAGCCCTGCCCTCCGCCCGGCGTGGGAGTTTGGCTCTGGGGACCACTGAGCTCTGGCCAGTGGGGTTAACGAGGGGGGCCTCAGAGCTGACGGGGAGCGGAGCGAGGCTCTGACATGGGGCCAGTTTAGGGCCTCAGCCCCCGGGCCCGGAGCGCAGGCTGCAGTGACAGCAGAAGGGCGGCGTAGGGCAGACCCCTGCCAGCGTGGGACCCAGCCATGAGCTGAGGCCTCGGGGGCCAGGAGAGCCCAGCTCTGCTTCCCAGCGTCTCCGTGCTGGGCTTGTGAATCCTTCCTGTTCTGGTGGATTGTGGGGGGAGGGTTGGGGCCTGCTGCTCCCCCTCACCGCCCTCCCACCAAAACCTCTCCCCTCCCACCCCCAGCTCCTCTCCACGGCCTGCCAGGGGCTCCCACCTGAAATGATGCCCTCTCCAGCACGTTTAACTATGGAGTCTGAGCTGTGGGCGCTGAGGACACTGGGCAGAGCCTGGCAGTGCCCCTGAACCAACCCCCATCCTGCCAGGCTCTGGCCTGAGGATGGGCCGGGCCTGGGTGAGTGTCACGTTCCCGAGATCCTCCTTCCACATGGACCAGGGCGCAACAGCCAGCCGCTGTGCCTGGGCCTGAGAGGGGGAGCTGAGTGGGGCCGAGCTGGGGAGCTGCCTGAGCCCCGGGCTGGGCCCTGGGCCGGGGGAGGTTGGGCTGGGTTGGGCAGAGGGTGATTGTAGACGTGGCTCATTGACCCAGCCAGCCCAGCTGCTGCCCAGAGCCAGGGCTCGTCCTGCCCCCTGCATCTGGGCTCATCCTGCCACTCCCTCAGCGCGGCTCTGCAGAGGAAGCGGGTGACGGCGGAGAGGTGCAGAGAGCCCTGCTCACTGGGAAGGCACCAGGCTGCAGAGTGAAGCTCCCTCCCCAGGCTGGGGCCTGCTGGAAACATCCCGTCAAGTGCGAGGGAGGATGGGAGAGCACGGAGGGGTCTCACCCCCGACCTCCACGCTGCCATGCGGGGAGCTCCCCACGTGGGTCCAGCCCTGCCCTGCTGCACCTGTCCTGCGAAGCCCCTACGGCACCGGCATGAAGTGTCTGCACCCGCTGCCCTGCACGCGCCTCCTTCCGGGGGACAGGGGGGCTAGTGCAGCTTCACCTCCACAAACAGCAAAGCGCCAAGGAGCAAATCCACCCGCTTCTATTCTTCCAAAGCCTGTGCCATGGGCAGGGGGCAGGCGTTGGGCTGGCTGGGGATGGTAGGGCCAAGGCCTCTCGGGGCCTGGGCTCCGGCACTGGGAGCTCCCAGAATTTCTGTGGGGTCTCATGGGGTCTGTACTGTGCAATCGCTGTATTTTCATGGTTTCCTACAATAAACTGCAATGCCAGAGACTCTAGGAGCAGCGATTCTCACTGGGCTGCGCCACCCCCGCGGTGGGACCCAGCCCTGGAGGAGGCACCCAGGCACACTCTTGCTGGCTGTACGCATCTGGGCCCCTCTCCCTCGTACAAATCTTTGGCCTTTGTGTAGCACCTTCCAGCAGCTGCCCCAGAGACCTTGGACATCCCAACCGCCCTAGCGAGAAGCCCGTGGGGGTGAAGAGATTTGCCCAAGTCAATCAGTGGCAGAAGGGGAACAGAACCCACAACTCCTGACCACTGCTCTCACCACTAGGCCATGGTGCCTGCTGAAGAATGGCTGGTAGCTGCTGGGGGAGTGTCCAGAGCCCACGCCTGGCCTGGGTTCTGCTACGCTGGCCCGCCTCCCCCCGTTAGCAGGGGGCCTGGCCCTGGGGGGTGAAAGTGGCTTCCCTGGGGTCACAGCTGCTGCTCCCCGGTCTGTGCAGTCAGGCGTCCACCCGAACAGGCCTGTGGGTGGCAGACACGGGGCTGCACCACGACTGACGGCCGGCAGAGGGCAATGCCAGCCCAGCGATGGACACCGGGAGCCAGGGGAGGGGCTGCTGTACAGACAGCTCCATGCGCTGCCGTGCCAACCCTACACTCTGGCCGTGTGTCCCGATGCCGTGGGCAGCAGGGGGCCGCCTCACGCCCGGGCACGGTGCGGGGCTGAGGCCCAGGGGCGTGCAGGGCTGTGGACACGTAGCTGGGAGGGCGCTGCCTGCTCGCCCGGCCCTCGGACGGCCCCAGACACGGGCTCTGCAGGCAGCAGCTGGGTGGGACGTCTGGGGCACCACTTCCTCGTCCCTGCCCAGCCTTCCCGTAAGGAGGTGGCATGTCCTTGCGGTGGGGACTGTAAAGGTTTATGAACGGTGTAAAGGGTCATAAAAGATCATTGTGTTGCCGGCACCCAGTGCCAAGAGGCAAAACAACAGCAGGGGTTCGTTAACTGGTGTGCGTCACCCAATAATCACAACGGGGTGGAGAAGCAGAAAAGTTTATTTGCAGCTGCAAACAAGGTACAGGGAGAATAGAATCTCAAATCCTGCACCCAGAGCAGGAAGTTACACAGGCTTTTATATATATATATATATATTTTTAGCATATTTATTTAATAGCAAGCTGCTTTAAGTATTTACATAGCCAGCTAATCCAGTTACCAGCTAGTTTCCTTGTTTTTTGTATTATTTGTTAAACTATACATAAAGCTGCTTTATTCAGCATTGTTCTTCCATATCTGCCCTGTTTGGCCTTGTTTAGTTTCAGGCAGTCGGACTCTGCAACATATTGTTGCAGATCCTCAGCATGACTACTGCGAGTGCCTCCAGGCGGGCTGGGGGGGCCAAGAACACCTGGGCCTAGTGCGAGGGGGCTTCATTGACACCCGTGGTCTTCCATCCCCTCGAGTTACCTAGTGGCCATGTCCCAGTGTCCCCAACAACTCCCTCCTTTGAGAACACTCAACAGCCTTGGCTCTGAGTTTTCTTACTTGGGCTATTTATGTTTTTACAATAGGACTTTGCATAAGCACTTTGTGATAGCCCTGAAGAGAACGACTTATTAACTTTTGCAAAAGGGCCCTGACACATAATACTGCACAGCATAATACCATTAATACAAGCAATACAGGAAAGAGAAGTTTCAATAACAAGCTAAATAAACCACCAAGCCAAAACGACAAACCCCAGCCTGAAAACAAGGTTTGCAACCAATCGCTCTCGGGGGCAGTATAGGCAACCTGTGCTGCGGCTCGGGCATGGGCCTCAGCCTGTACCACCTTGTCATAGATTTTATAACTGCTATCATTTACATATACACAACATCGGGGCCCGACGAGGGCACAAACCCCTCCTTGGGATGCCAAGAGATAGTCCAAAGCCAGCCTGTTTTGGAGGGAAAACGTCCTGAGCTGCTGTACCTCTTTATTTAATGTTTTTATTGCTGACCTTAAATTACTAACCTAGTTTTTTAACTTTAAGGCAACTTTTTAAAGTACCATTTGCAGCCTTACAGTATAGCGGCCTATGCCTGCCATGGCTGGCCCAGTAAACAGTGGTGCTGTTCCCAGTACAGAGCACCCTACAAGTTTCTCGGGTGTGAGGGAATTCTTCATATTGCCCTCCAATGCCGTAGTCAGTCGCCGCAGGGTCTTTTCTCGTGACTCAACAGAGGTGTCTCAGGCATTTCTAATCTTCCCTTTGGGCAGTGTGGCAGTTATGGAAAGATGAGGAACTCCATGAGCTATATAACAGCTACCTGTCCAGTTGGCTGGCAGCACCTTGTAAGCTTTTCGGCCACATACAAAATAGTGACCCTGTAGGGCCCAGTAAGGACTGTTTCTTAAGGGGATTCCTGGGATATTTAAGGCTGCTTTTTTAAACAGTTCATATGCCCCTAAAGGGGCATCCCATTCTCCTGATTGGGTACAAGTGGGGGCGTTTCTAATTGTGCCGTTCAAATTACACTCGCCATAGGGACCACTACAAACCCACCATTGGCTTGCTACATTGGAGATATTAACTGGACGGCAAGTTATATTTCTAAACCCTTTTTTTGTGGTAAGATTATTTGTAAGAGTTTCCCTAAAAGGGGAGGAACCATTACACCCCCACTGCTGGCTTCCCCTTTTGGTCTTTATCCAATACCCATCAGCCCACGTGTAATAACGCAGGAGCTCTTTCCCACAGGACGCCCATAGTGATCAGATTGGCTTCGGGTAAAACATAACACTCCCTCGGTGAGTACTGCAACTGAATACTCCTGGTCCTGATAGGTGGCTTGCTGCAAAGAGGTCTTGTTCCAGAATGGTGAGTCCGTTCTTTCCTGCTCTTTGGTGGCGGCTAATTCTGCTACGGTCAGGGGCAGCATGTCAAGGGGCATTCCCGTTTTGGGGGACAGTGGAGTTGGAGCACATACCCAGCAATCAGTCTGGTTTGTTAAAGTAGCAACATGGTGCGCACGCAAAACAAAGGAGTTATGCTCCCGATATGCACAGTTTGGAAATAACAATACAGAGAATAACAATGTTACCCAATTAATTATTACTAGAATTATTACTAATTTTTTAACCCAGGGTCTCCAGTACCTGGGTGGGCCCATTTTAGCATTAAGGTGCCCGCTATTTGTGTCTTTTAAACAGTAGCTTTAGCCCGGGATCGTCACTAGATGAGGAGTCAGCAGGTTGGACCGTCCACTGTTCTGCTGATGAGGGGGCGGGTACTGCCTTCAGATGAGAGTGATGGATCCAGTTTTTGTGTCCCTCGATCTTTGCCGCTGTATGGGAGATCAGCAGTAGAGTATAGGGTCCTTTTTACTTTTTTTGGAGAGGCTTGTTTTTCCAGGTGCGAACAAGCACGGAGTCACCAGGCTGTAAGAAGTGGATGGGAGAGTCCAAGAGGAGAGGCTGGGAATCCTTGGTGTACCTGTGAAGAGACAAGAGAACAGCAGACAGGGAACACATATACTGTGACAAAAAACCATTATCCAACTCCCTTTCCCCTGACAGAACCGGGGTGCCATTCATAGGCCATGCCCTTCCAAACATAATTTCAAAGGGACTAAGCCCTAATCTACCCTTTGGGAGAACGCGGATACGGAGTAGGACAAGGGGCAAAGCATCAGGCCATCGCAGTGAGGCTTCTTGGCACACTTTTGAGAGATGCCGTTTAAGGGTCTGATTGGTACGCTCCACTACCCCACTGGCTTGCGGTCTCCAGGGCGTATGGAGTTTCCAGGGGATCTGTAAGGCATGTGAGATGCTTTGAATGATTTTTGACGTGAAGTGTGTCCCGTTGTCAGATTCCAGCCACAGGGGGAGTCCAAAGCGAGGAATGATCTCCTTAACAAACTTGAGGGCCACTGTTCTGGCAGTGCAGTTACGGCATGGGAAGGCTTCTGGCCATCCGCTGAACCGATCCACTGTGACAAGGAGATATTTGAACCCTTGGGTCCGGGGAAACTCAGTAAAGTCTACTTGCCACACTTGTCCGGGGCCCGGAGTGGGTTCTAGGGCAGCTGGTGGCACAGGATGTCCTGGTCGGGGGTTATTCTTTTGGCAGACTAAGCAGTCCACTTGTACCGGGGCAGCCAGGGGTCGGAGTCCGGAAGTGATAAAGTATTTTCCCATTAGTCGGATAAGTGCTTCCCTGCCAGCATGAGTGGTTTGATGTAAAAAGAAAAGGAGTACTTGTGGCACCTTAGAGACTAACCAATTTATTTGAGCATAAGCTTTCGTGAGCTACAGCTCACTTCATCGGATGCATACTGTGCAAACTGCAGAAGACATTATATACACAGAGACCATGAAACATGGTTTGATGTAGTTTCTGCAGCACTGGCCGGATCAGGCCCTTTGGTAGGAGGACCTTCCCTTCCGGGGAATGGAGCCATCCCTCCTTTTCCCGGAGACTGAGTTTGTCAGTTAGCTGTCTTTTCTTTCCAGAATACTGAGGGGTTGGAAGCTCCCCTACTGATGGGATAAGGGCATGCATATGGGCGTTCTCAGTCTGAGGGGGTGGCAGCATGCTTAGCCTCTGTATCTGCCCGAGCTTTACCTCTGGCCACATCTTGATCTTCCCTTTGATGGGCTTTACAGTGTACCACCGTCACTTCCGAGGGAAGTTGTACGGCTTCTAGGAGCCGGAGGATTTGGGGCCTGTACTTGACTGGGGAGCCTTGGGCTGTCAGCATTCCCCTTTGCTTCCATAGGCCAGCATGAGCATGCAGCACACCAAAAGCATACTTTGAATCGGTAAAAATGTTGACCCGCTTTTCTTTTGACAGTTCAAGTGCACGGGTCAGGGCTATTAGTTCGGCAAGCTGGGCAGAGGTCCCAGCAGGCAAACCTTCAGCTTCCACAGTGTCATGGAGGGTCACAACAGCATAACCCGCCCTCCTTTGCCCATCTATTTCAGTACTGCTATCATCAGTGTACCACTCATAATCTGCATTTGGGAGGGGTACATCCTTTAAATCCGGGCGGCTAGAGTACT